TGAGCTTCGCAAAGTATTTCGCAAGAGTAGCTTCTGACGTTTAAAGCGCAATACACGCTTATAAACGTTAAGAAATTCTTCCTTCTCGTTTTTTATTACTTTCTTTTTTTTTGTTTTTTTTTTGTTTTTTTTTGTTTTTTTTTTTTTTATTATATCCTCGACTTTTATTCGAGTAAAAAAAAAAATATCAATTCAGTTTTACGACCAAGAATTTCAAGATCGTAAATTATAATTATAATCTAATTATAATTATAATTATAATTATGATTATAATTATAATTATATCCTAATTCAAATGAGAAAAATTGCATGCATATTCTCGGTATTTGAACGAATCCTTTCGTTTTCCTTACGAAACTTTATAATATCTCAAATCGAGAAATGTAACTTCTATTATTCTACATTCGAATGTTTATATTGTCGAATTGTTCAAGTGGGAAATAACGTTTGTCCGGATATTAAATTCGAAAAGTTCACTATTTTTATAACGTAGTCGTTGCAATTATATTACTTTGTATTTTTTCGCATATCACTTTATGGATATAAACTCGAGTGGAATTGCCGCGATAGATTCAAATATGCAATTTCCATCGTTTTTCTTTCGGAAGTAAAATCGCATCTCTTTATTTTTCTCTCTTCTCTCTCTCTCTCTCTCTCTCTCTCTCTCTCTCTCTCTCTCTCTCTCTCTCTCTGACTCACTCTTTCTCCCTTATTGGAAAAGCGAGAGAGAGAGAGAGAGAGAGAGAGAGAGAGAGAGGAGAGGATTGAATATCATTCCGCATACACGCGTATCCGCATCTTCTCTCCCGCAGCTAACATGCAAATTCTGTTCCAGAGAACTCTCGTTGTGACGGTAACGTCGCTCGAGCAAAATATATGCTAGATTTGATATGACAAACTGAGGGTAGCGTGCGCACAGACGAAGTCGCGACTCCTCGTAGTTGTTGGATTGTCTATAGTGTTATCGTGCTTACGATATCGTCTTTTAGAATGTGCCTACCGTTCGTAAGTACGAAGACGGATGTGAGCCAAGTTACGGAAAAGTTGAAGCGCATAAACTTGAAATTGCTTGCTAGAGCTTTATTGATCATCCGTATAGGAATTCTTCATAGTTTTTTCTTTAACGTCAAATACTTGCTTGATTCTCTTCCCTTTTTTTTTGCTTCTTCCTTTTCATCTTTTTATACGACATTTTCTATCCTCTTCCTTTTTTTTTTTTCTTTCTTTCTTTCTTTTTTTTTCCTTTTTACTTAGAAACTGTCTTTATGAGCGTTAGTTATATCAACGCCCTAGATCAAGAAGAACTTTTTTAAATAACGCGTAACGTGGCGGGCTTAAAATAAGTAGTATAACTCGATATTAAATCAGACACCCGTTCATATGCCAATAAATACGGTTTATTAGCAGTAGCTCATATTGTTACTTTCTCAATATAGAAAGAAAAGTTTCGTGTTATCTTTATTTTATTATATATATATATATAAAAGAAAAATACTAAAAGAGAAAACAAAAAAAAAAAGAAAAATAGAAAAAGTTATATATGTTTTACATTATCGGTTGAAAGGTTGAAAAAATTTGTTTTACACTTTAATGTAATGTATGATTGAATTTTCATTCAAAGGTATTATCTCAATTTCGTACATCTCGTGAATCCCTTTTCCTTTGTTTTATCTCGTACGACAATACGATCCGAGTTAATACCGTTTTAGATACGATGAAACTTCTCTCGTTTAGAATTTTTCAAAGTTGAAATTTTTCCGTTGGCTTATTTCGTTCTTTCGACTATTTAACTTGGCCTTTTCCCTTTATTCTATAGGAAGAGTTTATGTTGTCTGTTGTAGGGCAATGGCGGAAAGGAACACTTTGTAGTAAGTAGCAGTAGTAACGGCCGTTGAAAGGAAGTAGGATCTGTCGAATACTATTGTAGAAATGGTAGTAGTGTTAGTATTAGTAGGTGGTATCCCACGAGCAAAGTTTCGACTTGTTGTCGTGCCGAAGGAGTTCGACCGGGAAGCTTGAAAGTTCTCACGCGGCAAAAGTAGAAACTTAGAGAGAGAAAGAGAGAGACAGATAGAGAGAGAGAGAGAGAGAGAGAGAGAGGGAGAGAGAGATGATGGGAGGAGGAGGAGAAAAAGGAGTTGGGTGCGTCGAAAAGTAAAAGGAAAAGGAGTAGAAACATCGTAGCTAGGTATTATTCTTTGTCCGCGGGACGGGAGTTGGTAAGATTCGGGTCGAGTACATTGGAAGACTTCTTCTCTATTCGGAGAAAGTAACTTCCCTATGGCACTGGACGTTTTCCTAAGAAACAAAGAAATCTCGAAGGAAGGAAGGAAGGAAGGAAGAAAGGAAGGAAGAAAGAAAGAAAGAAAGAAAGAAAGAAAGAAAGAAAGAAGTAAGAAATGAAGGAAAGAAGGAAGGAAGGAAGGAAGGAAGGAAGGAAGGAAGGAAAGTCCAAGTAAGACCGCCATCTTTCTTAAAGAAATCACGGCTATCCATTGTTTCCATTCTTTTTTCCCGTGACTTGCTCTTTTTGTTTCTCCATTTTTCTCTTGTTCTCCCCTTTTCCTTGATTCAGTTACCGAATCTAAGAACTTTGCCTTTGGGTTGTTCGTTATCGAGAAAAGTTAAATGGAAAATACTCTTGGATAGGCACTGAACAACGGTCGGTCAGTCTCGGTTTACACAATAGAAGATAATTAAAGCGTAGTAGTAATGCAGGGCCAATCCTGTTTGGTTATTTGTTCGTCGACCATTGAGGAACGATACTGGAAACAGTAGGAAAACGCAAAAAAATATAGAAATACTAGGGAGAATTGAGAAAAGGTTAGTGATCCGTGGTCAGGTTAGCCCTTTATTTTGATGCAAATGGATTTTTTTTTTCTTTAAATGGACGTTTTAAAAGTTTGCCCCTAGTCTGCTATTTTTTGAACATCGATATCGAGAAAGAGAGAGAGAGAGAGAGAGAGAGAAAGAGAGAAAGAGAAAGCATGAGAGAGAGAGAGAGAGAGAGAGAGTTAGAGGGAGAGTGAGAGGGAGAAAGGAAGGGAAAGAGACCAACACAGTGGTCTACCAGTCCGTCGAGGCTTTGATTAACTGGCGTCACGAAGCAAAGGCTCGCACGATTGTTTGCTACGAACTCGTAGCTGTTCCCTCTCGTTCTCCTGATTGCTATGGTTGTCGTTACCGTCGTTCTGTTTCTCTCTTCTCTATCCTCATCTACCTCCCACTCTCGTGTTTCTCTTCCTGAAAACCCCTTTCAGTTTCCTTCCTTCCTTCCTTCCTTCTCTCAGTAACCGAGTCCGTTCTCGTTTATCGTACATCTCTTTGCTTGCTTGTAGTAACATCCCCACAGAGAGACCGAGACGAGCTACTTTGGAATTAACCGAACTCGCTGATTTTCGCTAAGTCAGAGTGCACTTCGTACCATCTATTCTCTTTCATTCTATCCACTATGTGTATACATGACCTATCTTTGTACTATCTTTTGGTCTGTTCTTTTTTTATCCTCGTTTCTCATCGATCTTTATCCGTGTATGAGTGTCTTGGACTTCTCTAATAAGTAATTGCGATCGCTCATAAAGTAATGAACTTTCTATCTCTCTTTTAACGAACTATTTTATTTCACTTAAAGACATTGGAACTTTAATAGAATTGATAGAAATGACGTTACGTTATACGTGATAAAAAAAAGTAACGATTTTATTTTATCACATAAATTTTAACATATCGATTTTCTTTAGAAAAATATCAACGACCCGTATCTATTATATCGATGTATTGTAGCATTTTTCTTTTTTTTTTTGCCAGTTCTCTTAAAAAAATTCCATCAGTTTACATCGACCTTTATTTTTCTTTTACCACACTTTAGAATTCTATTTCGATCGTAGAAAAGTTTGGAATTGAGATTTTTTATCACTTTTGATTCCGTTCGCGATCAATTCTACCAGCTCGTTTAGTCGTCCCTTTATTTAACCACGAGCCCTTTTACTTCTCTTCTTCCTTATTTCTTCGTCGGTGTTTCTTCGGCTCCGCCAGCTTTCGCAACATTGAAATTAATTCCAGACTGTTGCTTCCAACAGACTCCATCGAGGCACGATATAACTTTATACTCAAATGGAGTTCGTTCCATGGAACTTGCGTGGTATAGCCGATTAAATGAACGACCTAGCAACGCTTCATACTCGATGCCATTCCTTTGTGCGAATCGCTGATATGATTATTCGTGTATTGCGTATAAAAATTTATAAAAGAAAAGGAAAAGAAATAAAAACGTCACATGTTTTTTGTGTATTTTTGGTTTTGTTAATTTTTTCTTTCATTTTTTTTTTTTCAACGCAATTAATCAATCGATAACGAAAAAGAAACATTATCATAACACGTTTTTCATCGTAATCCCCCTTGAAGGATCAATAATTCATCATTTCTCCAAGGACAAATTCGAATCTATAGATTTGAGTAAATAGATTCTCCGGTACGGTGAGTACCGTGTATTTATCTAAGCCCTCTCACAACCGCAAAGTAAATATATTACTCCGACCTTAGATACCGATTCCAGTTTGACTTTGGACGTCTCGCGGCATACTCGTTGCGGCTTCTTCTCGACCGCATTCCTAAAGTCACACATAGTTGAGACTTCGAGAGCTTACCGATGTACATATCTTATCTTTGTCTTGTAACTTCTATTGCATTGATCTTGGATTTAGATATTATTGATATCGTTGAACATTTCATATCATATAATAATAATAATAGTAATAATAATAATATATATATGTATAAAACTGTTCGATAAATTTTATGTAAATATAAATAATGATCATTGTTCTTTTGTTGTTGAAAAGATGAAGAAGAAACAAATCGTAAAAATAAAAAAATAATGAAACACATACATATATTTCGATCGATTAATGAAATCTATTTTAAATCCCGTAGATCGTTCGACGACATACTTTTACAAGATACATTAATAACGAGAATTATTTTTCTCTTTTATTTTTCAGTACCAAGAGTTGAAATTGTTGACGAACGTGGCGCAACCACAGGCGATAAATTCTATAAAGCAGGTAGTACGATAGAGCTGAAGTGTGTCGTTAGTAATATACCTCAACCGACTGGATACGTAACATGGCGGCATGGATCTCGTGCATTGAATTACGATACCACCCGTGGAGGAATCAG